GGAAAGCATGGCACCAAGTTATGATCGAAAATATAATCATTTCAGCTCTAATAATATCATGCTTTTATTTAAAATGACAAATTATTAGGTAAAATTAATATCCAGTATTTTTTTTCGAAATTAGAGCTGCGTCACTGGTTGTCATGGTAATGAGAACTTGACCTATATTGACCCGCTATTCTAAATTCAGTCTGCCCGTGAACTGAAGAACGGGAGCTGAAATAAGTGAAACTCTTCAACTGTGAACAAATGCTGATTGTTGAGAAGTGAACAACTTGATTTCAGAAAACATCTATGATAAACTGCTGACATCTTGAAGCGTGAAGGCAGCTTTAGTGGAGAAGCCATGGCCTCCTCTGCTTTACTCCGTAAGAAACACCCGATGACTCTTGGGATCCACAGTTTGTAAGTCCGCTATGGTAAAACACAGCAGACCACTGACTATTTACACCTTGCTTTAAATCACTGTATAATAGAGCATCATAAATGAAAAAATGGATAAATATACGTCTGTGTAGTGATGTGCTTATACCATCAGTCTCCTATTTAACTCTCTGAATAATGTCAAAATAGCACACCTCCAGTAAATGTATTATTTCGTTATAAAATGGATAAAAACGATGTATTGTACTGAGAGTGCACATGGCAGGTTTAAAAAAGTATGAATATTCATGTAGTGTTTGAGAAAAATGTGTTTTTTCTATCGGTGCAAGTCATCGAATTTAACATTGAAAGTATAGGACAAAGATGGCGACTGAGCCATTTTTTGAAAAATGCTAAAACTTGTGTATGTGCGCGCGCCATGGAGGCGACGTCCGATATTGGAGTCAGCGACGTCTGACGTTAATGCGGTCAATGTGGACCTGTTGTGTAGGCGTGGATGATTACATCAGCATGTTTTTATTGTTGACACCTGATTGAAATATATCCATAGTTTTTAGAGCGTCGGGTTTATATGTTCAGACCTGTTGAAGCCACAGTGGGATTGTATTTGCCAATTTAAAGCACCTGTGAGCTGTCGTTAGGCTTTAAAAAGTTAGCATATAACTTTGAAATGTTATTGAGGATTATAATCAACAAAATAAACTATTATCTCCTGTGGCTTCGGGGTCTGTGTAGTGATGTGCTTATACCATCAGTCTCCTATTTAACTCTCTGAATAATGTCAAAATAGCACACCTCCAGTAAATGTATTATTTCGTTATAAAATGGATAAAAACGATGTATTGTACTGAGAGTGCACATGGCAGGTTTAAAAAAGTATGAATATTCATGTAGTGTTTGAGAAAAATGTGTTTTTTCTATCGGTGCAAGTCATCGAATTTAACATTGAAAGTATAGGACAAAGATGGCAACTGAGCCATTTTTTGAAAAATGTCAAAACTTGTGTATGTGCGTGCGCCATGGAGGAGATGTTCGATATTAGAGCCTCCCCAAATGCTGTCTCTGCATTTAGTACCCTCTGTGTGGCCTCCCCAAATGCAGTGTGTGCATGTAGCCTCCCCAAATGTAGTATGTGCATGTAGCCTCCTCAAATGAAGTGTGTGCATTTAGCCCCCTCTGTTGAGCCTTTGTGTAACCTCCCCAAATGAAGTCTGTGCTTTTAGCCCCCTTTGTATAACCTCCCCAAATGAAGTGTGTGTATTTATTCTCTGTGTAGCCTTTTTGTGTAGCCTCCCCAAATGCAGTGTATGCATTTTGTCCCCTCTGTGTAGCCTCTCCAAATGCAGTGTGTTTATTTAACCCCCTCTGTGTAGCCTGCCGAAATGCAGGGTGTGCATTTAGCCCCCTCTGTGTAGCCTCCCCAAATGCAGTGTGGGCATTTAGCTCCCTCAGGTTGAGCCTCTGTGTAGCCTCCCCAAATGCTGTGCATGCGTTTAGCCCCCTCTGTGTAGCCTCTCCAAATGCAGGGTGTGTATTTAGCCCCCTCTGTGTAGCCTCTCCAAATTAACAGTGTGTGCATTTAGCCCCCCCCCCGCGTAGCCT